CAGTAATAAATTAGTTGTAAAACTTGCTGCATTCCATACTGCTCCCCCGAAACGACGCTAACTGTGCTGCTAACAAACAAAAGTCAAAGTTGTAGAAAAGCATTTATTTTAATTGTAATTATTTGATGCAAACGAAAAGTGAAGGAGCGAATTTTCTTATGAAATTAACTGTTACTTTTCAATACTGAGTCAACTGTCGCGGCGCTGCCAATAGCAGACTATTACTGCTCCAGCTTTTACTGAGCAACTTGTCTCCATCTATCCAGCCCGAGTTACTTTTGTTTCAACTGCCTCCTTCCTGCTGCTTGGTAACCAATAGTTGAGCGCACTTAAAGAATTCATCACGAATTGTAAGTTTATACATATATACTAGGTAATATGTAGAAGTATATTTGTAATGGCTTAAAAGGTAAAAGACTAGTTGTCAACTCATTGTAAGCGAGTAGCATTTATAATGCAGCGTGGTTATTTAAAAAGTCATTTGTCCGAATATGCGCCAGCATCATACTAGTTAAATACTAGTTAATTTATTTATTTCGAATCTCTACTTTACAGAAATAATAAAAAAGATATCATTACTAATCCTTTGCGAAGAAGTGAATGGGTATGATTGATCTTTAAAGCACCAGTTTTGTACTAGTTTAGATTTTCGCTGCTGATGGCATACGTATTTGCTGCAAGTTGCTAGTTAGGCTGCCTCTACTGTTGTTATTACTACGTTTTAATTGTTGCACGGTGTTAAATAAAGAAATGCAAGTTATTGTATTTGTGATGCAACAACTGTAACAATAACAACAGCACTATGAATCGATATGCGAGTGAGTGTATGAAATGAAATAAGATTGTCTTTGTTGCTGAGAAGCAATTGAAATTGCAGCCGACGACGTTCAAGTTATACTCGTACATGAGAAAAGTTTCTAGAGTGAGTGTGAGAGTTGTGATGTGAGAAGTGAAGGTATTTTCGATCGAACTAATAGCACAATACAACTCGCTGTTTAGTAGCTGTTCTAGCTGTTGTTGTTGTAGGTCGAAGTGGAAGTTGAAAATCGCATATATCTCACCAAAGGAAAATATATCGAATTTCATGTCGAAAGTTTTGAATGTGTATAAATTTTGCGTTAGGCAGCTATTGAGATGCCGGTGACGGCGGAAGAGCCTTACTTGCGATGTAGCAAACCAAAAAATGGATGCTCCGGTGTTGATGCTCCGGTCTGCGTGGGTTATGTGAGCCTTAGATTTTGTATGATTTTCTGATATTTCCAACCAAAGTAAGTCACCGAGTGCTTTTGCTTTCTTTAAGTCTCTATTGTCTTGTGCGGCCCTATAATTGAATAATGATTCTCTGCCCGGAACTTGGCGTCAACATAAAGAAGAAGATCATTTCATAGATGATTCCCATTTAAATTACTTTTGATTTTGCATTAGAGTAAGTTGAGACAGCAAGTGTCTTGGTGTCCATCGTGTGAATGCTGAAAAAGTTCTATCACAAATATATTGATAATGAGATCTAGGGCAGAAGATACTACGGTATAAACTGGCAAATAGCGGCAATTGGTCTCTCAACGGCTCAAGACCTACCGGGTTTCTGTGCCCTTTGAATGGTTTGCAGTCAGGGTTGCCCGTATAATTGCTGACGGAACCTCGTAGATATCGAGTCATCGAGAAACTGCTTGTTACCGCGGCATAGGGCTCTATAACCGCTCGTAGTTTCCTTTTATATTTCAATTTCCTCTTTAAAGAACCATATTGAATCATCAATGAAACAATTTCGCTTCGGATCCCTCCAAGTGAAAAAGTGCATTCGCTGAATGCCACGATATGCCGTTTCATAATATTCGGAAACCATGTGAAGGAAACCAACCCTTTGTAGGGAAAAGACAAACCGACAGGTTATGCAAGAGAGGCTGGTCTCAATAGTAGACACAAAATCCTGCACGTGCTTAGATTGAAGACCCAATCCTGAGTAATTTATTTCTACGTCTGGAGCAACAGGGGACAATTACTTATGTGAGCGGTTCTGCCGTTCCAAAACTTTAAGGTTCTTCAACAGATATCATATAAGGCGTTGGGCAGCCTCGGAGGCTTTTCAGTAGCTAAGCGCCATACTAATAGTACGCTATAAATACCTGAGAGAAGTGAAGCATAAGGAAAGGCGTTGGTAACTCGCAATATCTCCGACCCACTAGTATATTTCAGCAGAGACCTTGAAACAGTACTGATTATTTTGTGCTAGACATTCAAAGGTATATGTGCTTCACGGTCCTGCACGGGCGTTAATATACGAGGCAGGGTGGCTCAACGATTTAAAGACCTCTCTTGTGAACTCAAATATACCTAAATGTTACCTCAATGATATTTCGTTTTTCCTCAGGATATTTGACCGCAGTATCGCGAAATCGGCAGATATTTCGACATTAACGCAGAAACTTGAAACAGGGCTTTGATGAAAAATTTACCACTGCGCCACCTGGCGGAAAATTTAACTTGAATCCTTTTGAAATATATTTGTCTTTGAACCAAACTAAATTTTTAACAAACAAAATGAAGTTATGTATTTATATATATAAATATATATATATATACGGCATTATGCAAAAAATGTTCACAAAATAATGCTTCACTTGGTTACTAGCCCATTTGCCCTTGCCACGTGCTGCTTCTGCTGCTTTCTTTGTGTGAAAATGTAGGCGTTGCAGGCATGCAAATATGTTGCATGAGGCCAAAGCAAAGAAAATATGCAGAAATAAAATGCAAATATTTCGAAAATATATGCACAATTGAATAGGAATGTACCTTAGCCAAGCTAGGCAAAAATAAAACTTACATACACATATACACATATAAGAGTAAATTTATTTGTATGTATATCCATAGGCAATACTCAAAATTGCAAATCTACATACATATATACTTTCTTTTAAGAATACTGGCAATATCACTGCCAGCTTGTTTCCCTGCTTTAAGATGCCAATAGGCGTAGTAACTGTATGTGAGCGCCTTAAAGGCTGCCTCGTTTCAGGTTCTGCACGTGATGCTGTTGCTGCTGCTGCTGCTCGCAGGTAGTGGGTTGCGGGTGAAAATTTATAGAGAAAAATTCCAACTTATTGCAATGCTTATGAGTACTCTGAAGTAAAATAAGACTTACATATACATATACACACACGTAAACTTATAAACGTAGTTGTTGTAGAAATAAAAAGTGAGAAAATCTCATTTTTGTCAGCACTATGAAATAGTCGTAAAGTTGGCTGAGCTGATTCACACAAACACACACACACACACACAAACCAGCAGACTATGCATTATACATGTGTAAGTATGTATATGCATATTACATATTCAAATAAATAAATATATCAACTTGTGTGCGCATTTGCGTCTATCATTGACTTGAAAATCTATGTTATTTGAAAAATTTTCAAAAGCAGTCCGAAGAGAGTAAGTGAAAATTTATAAAATACATATAAAAAGTGGAAAAATGCCATTGTGAACGCACAACCACATCATCGTCATTAAGTAGAGCTCCACACATACTCACAGCCCCGCACATATGCATATACATATCATAACAAAGTGTTGGCACCTTCAACTTGGCAAATTTTTGTATTTTTTTTCAGTTTTTTTCACGACCATTTCGAATATTTCGCTTTCTTAGCTGCTCAGTGAATTCCGCAGGGTAAATAAAATGACTGAAAAAGGTAAGCAGCAGCAGTGGTAACCAACTATGGTTGAAGCCACTAAAGGCGCCCGAAAGTGGCAGCTTTAGTGGGTAACTCAGTGAGTCATTTTAGGAATAGTTTGCTGTTGGCAAAGAAATGGGTAAGCAATGGCTGAATAGCTGTACTAAATCTGCCGTGGGCGGCGCGAGTGAGTCAGCTAACGGCAAGCGAACGTAGGCAGACTGCAAAAGCAAAGGTAGGATTTTTCTATATACCTTTCATTTATTTTATTGTTGCATCGAGAGAAATATTTGATATCAAAAATTTGCATAATAAAAGCCAGCACACGTACTTATGGATACATACTTAATATGCCACTATATAAACATAAATATAGTATGTATATTTTTGAAACGAAAAAGTTCGCGTTGCATAATATTTTGCGTTTAAATTTAAATTTTCAAAAATGTAATTACGCGTAAGAGATAGTGAAGTGTGCACCACAAGGATAAATTAAAATTAAAAAGAATATAATAAAAAATAATAATACAAAAAAAAAAAAAAAATATAAAAAAAATTAAATGAAATCTTATACAGTTAAACAAAGTGAAATCAAATAAATTAAAATAAATTACTAAATTAAACTAAGTAATAAAGAATGAATTAGAATAAAAGAATACAATAAGCAAAATGAAACAAAATATAACAAAATAAAATAAATTAAAGTTAAACTAAAATAAAAATAAATTTAAATTAAATAAAATAAAGTAAAAAGGAATAAAATAAAATACTACAATAAAAATTAACAAAACAATTTAAATAAAGTAACATAAACTAAAATAAAATCAATTAAAATAAATGAAAGAAAACCAAACAATTTAATCTAAACCAAAATAGAACAAGATAAATTAACCCTTTCGACCCCAACGTTGCCTGAGAGCAACTTCGCGAAATCATATTCTTGCCACAGGCGCTATTTTTGTTTTAATTTGTTGAATCGGTGTGATAACGGTAGTCTTATAAATTAGCGTGAAGTGTGATCAAAAAAAAATCAATTCTCAATCATTTAGCAAAGTTATTTGAGAAAGTGTGCAGCAGTGTCAGCTAAAAGTGGTGTTTTTGTTAGAAAGATCATTTTAAAAAGTGCATTTTTCTTAAATAAATTTGTCATTAAATACAATTGTGTGAATCAACTAGTGTTCAGCAATAGTTAAGTAAAATATATTTGCAAGTAATTTTCTGTTATTGTAAACCAGCATCAGGTGAGTAATTTTTACATTTGTTAAGTTGCCTGTGAGCAACTTTGGGCAATTGTGGTAATATATTTTTATACATATAGTAATGAGACCTCAAGACAAAGGTTTGTCAAAAGACGACATAGAACGAGTTTTAAACTTCGATTGGGACGTTTCTTCGGATGATGAAAGTGATGATGATATGGAAGATGTGTCTGCAGTGCTGGAGCAAAATTTTGAGGGGATTGTGGATAGAGGGGAAAGCATAGAAATTGACCTTCTTGATAATCTAATAGAAGAAGATAATACTCAAGAACATCGCTCAATTCAAAATATGTGTATCGAAAAAATTGATTCGAAGGCATTAAAATGGAGGTCAAAGGTATTTAAAGCCCCGGAGAGTATGTGGAAGGAAGAGTACACCTTGGAAATTTACGAAGTAATGAAACCAGTGGACTATTTCTCACAATTTTTTGATGATCGATGTATCGATTTGATCACTCAGCAAACTGACTTATATGGACTTCAGAAGCTGGGAATTGAACTTAAAAGCACCAAAGTAGATATACAACGATATATAGGCACTCTGCTATACTTGGGTGTTATTAAATTGCCCCAATTTAAAATGGCGTGGTCTCAAAATTTGAAGCTAACGGCTATAACGGACTCATTATCTCGCAATAGGTTTGAAAAAATTAAACAGTGTTTACATTTTAACGATAACAGCAAACAACCAAAAAAAGAAGATTCAAACTATGACAAATTGTACAAGATACGTCCTCTACTAGACATCGTTAGAGAAAACTTTAATAATCTCCCTCAAGAAGAACATCAAAGTGTTGATGAGCAAATAATTGCGTTCAAAGGTATGTATGATTTATAATATACATTGTGCGGTTTCTTTAAAGGTTTCCTGAATTTTTCGGTTAAAGGTCGATCAACGTACAAACAATACAATCCAGCTAAGCCCAATAAATGGGGCTTGAAAATGTTTACACGTTCAATATCTGTCCAAAGAAAACGAGGAAGGCCATCCAACGCAGAAAGTAGCTATCCTACGGATTCCGATGTTAACTCACCATCCAGCAGTGTATCTTCACAGAACTCAAAAAAGTACAGGTTCCAGCCGAACCCTCCAGAAACAAAACGATATGATAAGTTGGAGCATTGGGTAGTTTACGGTGAAAAAGGGCGCTGCAGGTTATGCAAAACTGGAACTCCAACATCTAAATGCCTTAAATGTAACATCCATTTGTGTAGTAATAACAATAAAAACTGTTTCTTGTCTTTTCATACCTAATATTTTCTTATAAATAAAACCAAATGCAAATAGAAAATTTGTTTAATTTTATACCACGATTGCCCAATGTTGCCCACAGGCAACTTTCTGTAGCACCCAAACGGGTGGGAGTGGCGACTTGAAAATTTGTCAGTATACTTCTGGGGTATATATAACAAGGATAAAGATAAAAAAATTTTAAAATAATTGCAAAAAAGTCGTGGTCAAAAGGGTTAATATCACCTGTGAAATTACATTAAATTAATTTTTTTTATTAAAATCATTTCTGAAACAATTTTAAAGCAACAAAAAAAAAATGATTTTCATTAAAACTGTGGGCCCGGTCGACAGCCGGCATCCCCTTTCTTCCCCTCAAGTCCTTAGCGACTTGATCAATAAGTAACGACAAATGCCTGCCTAATCTACTTATGTTAAAGAAATCGCACTGTACCGCCACAAATGGATTTCACATACCAAAAGTCGAAAGTTTAATCCGTGGTCTGCTGATGTTGAACGAGCTTAATGATAACATAGAAAATAATGGAGATCAGCTTAATCTGAATGGAACATACATAATTTGATATCAAAATTCATCTGTAAAAAATAGTAATCAAGAATATAGTCTTACTGAAACAATCCAATACAAACCCTTGCCTGCCATTATACATGCAACATCCCTAAGCTCCTATGAAGAGAGGTTTACTCTACGAAATTTAGAACAGCTACACCTTAATAATGCGTCAATAATTAAACTATTCGAATGAAAACAAATAAGAGGATTTGCTGTCAGCCTTGCTTCAATTGCTCTTATAACTTTACTTTATAACAACAGCAATAATCCCCAAGTATCTAAAAAGTTCTAAATCGACAAAACTAAAAATATCTTCCCCACTGTAAATAATTGACAACAACAACATTATTCACCATAATGAACGCGGACATTCGAAATTAAGGGCAGAGGAGTTAAAAAAAAAAATGTTAGCATTAACTAAATTTATGCCATTATTTAGAGTTCAATATAATTTTGCCTACTTCCGGTCCCATTGAAACTGCTGACACTATGTCTACAGGTATTGATTACTAAGCAGGCGATTTCTTGATAACTAAGTAAACGCAGCAAAACAATATTGTAATAAATAATGTATCAACTAGTTTTAAGCTCTTTTAATTTAAATATAAATAAATTAATTTTTTTATAAAAAGAAACAAATGNAAATAAAATAAAATAAAATAAAATAAAATAAAATAAAATAAAATAAAATAAAATAAAATAAAATAAAATAAAATAAAACAAAATCAAATAAAATAAATTAAAATAAAATAAAATAAAATAAAATAATAAAAATAAAGTAAAATAAATTTAAATCCAATAGAAAATAGTAATAAAGTAAAATAAAATAAAATAAAAAAATGAAATAAAAAAAAAAAAAAAATAAATTATATTGAAATAAAATTAAAAAAGTAAAACTAAATTAAATAAAACAAAGTAGAGGAAAATAAAATAAAATCAATTGAAATTAAAGAAATTAAATAAAATAAAATATATTAAAATAAAGAAATTAAACCAAACAATATAAACTAAAGCAAACTATAATTAAAAAACTAAGATTAAATAAATACAATAAATTAAAACAAATAAAAAAAAAAATAAAATAAAATGAAATAAAAAAATTAAATTAACTTAACAAAATGGAATAATATAAACTGAAACAAAATAAAATATAATATAATAAAATAAAATAAAATAAAATCAAATCTGATAGTAATAAAAAAAATTAAATAAAACCATATAATAGAAGTTAAAACAAAGTAAAATAAATAAAACACATAAAATAAAAAAAATAAATTTAAAATATAATAATAAATTAAATAAAATAAAAAATAAGATTAATTAAGTAGCTGAAATTAAATAAAGTAATATAAATTTAAAGAAATGAAAAATGAGTTAAAATGCCTGAACTCGTATAAAGAGAAATGAATGACGCTGAATTGGCATTTAATTTGACGTTGATCGCTTCTTTAGAAAATCATGCTTAACCACGACCCCACTTGCTGTTTCGTGCTAATATATGTACTTTATACACCCAAAATGCGTATCGGAATAATAAAAAAGTCAAATACTCAAACTCACAAGATGAGGGTCGAAGGTTGTGCGCCTTTTTCCGCTTGACACTAATACAAATTGAGCACTGAGCTACCAATGAAATATTTTTAGCAGTTTTTGCCGGATTTTATTTTGCCTACGTTCAGGCTATTATACAACCATATGTATACATATATCCACTACTACATGAAAAAAAAAATACAAATGTGACTACTTTGTGTTGATTTCTGTTGAATTTGGTCCAAATTTTTCGTCTACTATTGGCTTTATCGATTTCCACTTTGCTTACCTGATTGTCGTTTGTGTCGACAATTCGCTACTGTTGGGGCGGATTTTGTTGTACTTATGTCGCTATCATTGACTTTTGTCACTGTCATCATCCTGTCAACTCTACTCCAATATATTGACACGGTTGGTCAGTCCCACTCAACGTCATAATCTGGGCATAATAATGCGTTTATGATAATGTTATTTCTATGTTGTACCTTTTTTCTATGGAGCAGAGGAAGTGAAGTAATAACAGATGTTTTTTATTGTTATGGAAGAAAACCGTTTTGTGCAAGTTTTCTGTAGTTATGTATGATATACATGTGTATAAATTTAACTTTTAGCAGTAAAATAGATAGAGTCTGGCATTGTATTTCTCTTAATGATAACTAATTTAAGTGTTGAATACATTTGGTAGAAAATTTCGTTTCGGCTTAAGATTCTGGGTCTTAAAAAGTTTCTTAATTTTGTTTTAAGATTGTTAATGTCAATATCACGTAGTTTTATTCAAATATAAGATTCAATACACATGTGCTTTCAAATTTCTCCATCTATGGAGAAATTGTGCAGGAAGTACAGCACAATCCGTAGCTCGTCTAGAGTTCGCTAAACTAGCTTTTGGTTTCAGTTGATGCGAGGAATTCCCGTCATGTTTGAAGATTGACTGAATATTTTCGTCCAGAAAAATTAACTTGTTCTGCATTCGAATTTAAGAAGGAAACAGTCTGAGTGTGGTTACCCATCAGCAGGAAATTTAAATTCCTGCGAATGTATTTCCGATAAAATAAAAATGTATGAAGGAGTCTTAGGTAAAGATGTAGCAAAATTGGGGGAAGAGCTTTGCTGAGATTTTTAGATGATCCGACAGCTCACACTAGGTCAGTAGTAGTTTTGCCCTCACTTTGCTGGTGTTGTTCATTTGTTCAGAAGTTATTAAAGCGTAATTAAAGACGGCGGATAACGACGCCAAAACCTCATACTCACATAGTTTCGTAAGTTCTATCCTAGTTCTTCATTTATCTTTAGCTTGTTTGAGTCTTATCAAAGGTGCAGGTACCAGGCACTTGGTTGACTCTCATGGTAAATTTTCTCCTCATGAGCTGAAGAGAAGTCCAATCCACCCACTTTTTATCGAAGGAAGGAAAAACCCATGTGAACGCTTCAAACTGCTTCCAATAGGAAACTATTGTTCGCCATTCATGGAGAATCAACCAAACCAATTAATCGCCAAAAGATAAACGGCCGCTTAGATTGAACTCGACGACAGTGTTCGTAATGGAGATAGGTTGGGTTGAATTGGCTGTACTGCAGCTAAATCCGCCTTGAGATTGATGGCCTTGGCTAAAATTTCAGATAGCATCTATGGTAACAGCTCCCCATATACCGGAAGACGGAGGGAAATAATGTTCAAGGAGAGCGGAAAGCGCTGGAACGTGCGACCCGCCTGTGGTACGCACAACACCGACGGATCAAAAAAAAAAAAAACTGTTGAAGTGGGCGCAGGAGTCTTTGTGCTCAACTAAGTCTCAAGCAACATTTTTTTTTCCAACCAATGGAGGGACCTACAATTTATACTAAACTGCCCAGAGCACATTTCAAGGACCCAGACAGCAAAGTTGGCTGATGGGTTTTTTTTAGCATGGTTGACACTCCATGTCGAGGGGCGACCGCAACTAGAAAATTTAATTAAATATTGTATTTAAATTACCAAGACTTGAACCAGGGTTTTCCGAATGACAGTACGAAATACTAGCCACTCAGCTACCTTGAACAGGATACGATTTTCGCTAAAATTGATCTGAAACGAGAGTTTCGAAGAACTAAGTTCTGCCTCAGAGTAAGATGGTACGCAATGGTGAAAAGGATTTAGCCTAATAACGGGTCGTAACCGACCGGTATCCCACGGCAACAGTGTCACGTGTAAGTAGTGTTTGAGTGAGACATTAAAAAACCTACAGTGTTTCTTTTTCAGCATAAACCAGACTTCGTCTTAGATATCTCGGTGTGTCGTAGTTTAAATAACTCAAATGAAATAGAAACTTGGGAGAATTTGAAATACCTGCAGAAAAGCTGTTGCACCGAAGTGGCCCTGTGGCCACATATGACCCTTACTAACATTTCGAGCACTAGCGTTGTGAGCGAAATTAAAGACGAAATGCTGTTTTGAACCCTTGGAACAAGTCTCTGTCTATACCAAGTAGCAGGCGCTAAGAGGATTACCAAAGGTCTTTGCCAGTAGACTAATTCACATACATTACTTCAATAGCGCCAACGGCTAGGCGCCTAAGTGTTCTAATTAATTACCTCCAGTCACCGAAATTTTTAGAAAATTATACCGGAACTCGGGCTTAACATAAAATGCAACCGCAAAAAGGAAACCTTTTGCCGGATAGATACCACGTACTCCATTCTCAGTAGGGAAGAGTGGATGGAAGGCGGGCCCACTGGTAACAATGAAGATATTCACATCTGTACTGATGTATCTAAATGTGAGACAGGCCCAGATACAGAGTTCTTCTGTGACCACACCAATTACCAATTAGAACTCTGCATTCCAAGCAGTTATTATTGGCAGTACTGAAGGTGCCAAATACGAAACCGCTATAACGGGAAACTTGAAGAGGTTTCTGCTGGACAGTCATGCTGCAATTAAGTACGTCAGTACAAAGTAAAACATTGGATCATAGAGAAAATCATTGCATTTGGAACTCCTCCAACGGAGAACACACCACCAACTTATTATGGATCAGCGTGGAGAGCAGCCAGACTGTTACTTGCACAAAACTAGAGAGCAATTAACATTCTTTTAAGTGCACCATATTAACGTGGTATCTACCCATGAGAAAACTTCACCATAAGCTAGGTAGAATGGAATCGATTGTGTGCACTACCTTCACATATGCCCACTCCGGTCTTCAGCAGATAGAGACGACACTTTTCGCAAATGCCTAGTTGGGTTACACGAGGGAGTAAAACGAGTTTGGTCAATGGCTTAGGTTCGGCCCCTTGCCGTAATATACTCAACGATCTCCTTTAAACCAACCAAACAACCTAACCTGACTTGATCTTCCATATTGTTATGAGCATCGTCCATTGATTTCAAAATAAATTTAATAAAATTATAAATTTTTTTTTTCCTAAAAATAATAATGATAGTAATGCAATAAATAAATACAAATTAAAGAGATAATAAAAAAATTAAATTTATTAAATAAAAAATTAATAAAGTGACTAAAAAAACACGTCTATTATTTTTCTATGTCCTCAGTCGTAAATTTATGTACGTAATTAAGTAACCGATGATATTCCCTTTATATTCAAAGTAGATTTGCGCTTTTTCCAACAGCCATCAAAACGGCAGCCACGTAGTCGATAATGTATATTTGGGAATTTTTTATTACTTTGCCATGAATAAGGAAATTAAAAAATAAAAAATAGACAAAAATGTGAGCATTCGTTGGTCACAGCGCTGGAATGGATGTCCTTCAAACTGTACGGTCAACAGTTTGGTGAGATATTAAAGTTAGTATAATTAAAAAATAAAATAAATATTGAAGAGATTGGAAACTGAGCTCTGCAGATTGAACACTGATTAAAAACGCAATACAAAAATCAAAGAAGGTATTAACCATGCACCGTCTCATCTACAGAGAGAGTAAGTAAATACACGTACATAATATGCATATATAAGGTGCTTTCCTCAGTCGTGTGATTTTTAAGAGAGCGAGAGAGAGTGGTTCGAATACTGGTTTGAACAAGCACTCAAGATTATAACAAATTCATTTTCCTAATTGCGTTCGTCCTTCGGCAGCAAATGGTGAGCGACATCAGAGCGCTGACATCTCATAAAATCTCTTGGCCTTTCGGAAGTGGTTTCGAATAAACTCTAGGTCCCTTTATTTGTTGGTAAAACATCAACAAGCACAGCACTAAATGGAGGAGGAGCTTGACCGAAAATCGCTTCAGTAGTTACCAAGAGCCAACTATTATTACCAATACTTCTTACTGTTTTGACATTTTTGACAGCTGTAATTTCGGACAGACTTTGCTTCGAAGCCACGTTTGAAAATTGTGCAAAAATATTAGAAAAATAATGGTTCGGTTCGCGCGTTGCTGAACGTAATCGCTCCGCAAAGTCGTTAAGTCGACCAGCCAAAGATCTATATCCTCCTAATATGTGCACTCTAGTGTATAATGCACATCCTTAGAGAGGCCGTGTAGGGCATACCACAGACTGTGGACCAGAGTATCGGACCAGAGTATCGCAGAAGACCCGTATGAACTCTTCCGCCAGGAAGCTATGCATATCGATTTTGTGGAAGACTTTGTGGTAGGATCTTGGTTTGTTGGCTTACTAAATCCAACTCATGCAACAATTGAAGCCGAACGAAAATCAAGCGCACCTGCATGTTCGGTGAATGGACCCAAACGTAGATTTTACAAGAAAATTTTATTCATCGAGGAAGCTATCTTTTGGTTGAGTGGACCAGAACCATCTTCATATTCCAAGCTGTATTCTTGACCAAAACATTAATTTAAATGCGACTCATTTCTACTAAAAAATCCGCAAGTCTAAAAAAAGCACCCTCAAACAACCATGGCTGACCGAATTTTCGACAGACATACATACATACAAAGGCAATAACGACCAACCAATAAGTGCCGCAAAGCAAAAATTAAAATATATTTTCGTACTGTATGTATGTCGCTGTGTACAGTAACTGCGCAGCGCTCATTAAAAGCACACGTTTCCAATGTTTCATACAACTTTTAACAGTTTTTAATTTTTTGTATGCTTCTTTTTAATTATTTATTTTTTCGAATTTTCTTTTTAATTTATTTTCAACATTTTGTTACATTTACTTTTACATAGTTTTCATCATACAGTCATTTTGCGGCTTGTAACCTTGGGTCGTGCCATATGTATGCGTATTAGTGAAAATGTGTTTGTATGTGTGTGTGTGCCTGACGCGCACGTTTTGACAATTTCAAAAGTGAAAAAGCGAAAATGGCTAATAAAGTTAAGCTGCATTGGGCTGTGCATGGTTTATATACATACATACATACATATATACAAAAAAAAAAGCACATGCACAAGTGTAATTTTATGTATGTATGTATATATGTATCATTTGGGCGTGAAAAGTTCACTGCATATATTACACACGCGTATATATTGCTACCTTTATGAACGCTTAAGGTCAAGAGGTGCAGCCATGCAACGACGTTGCTCTCCTGAATTACATATGTGTGTATGTATGTATATATACACAGCACTTACCACCTTGCCTACATATTCATACAAACTTTGCCGGAGGTTTGTTAATTTAAATTTACGTTCAACGGAAACGAGCTAACGGCAATTAAATGCCAACACCTTTAGTTTTTAATGCATTTTCTTATGTTGTGGTGCATGTGCCTAGTTGGCTGGTGTCCTCGTAAGGTACAAGTTAAAAGCATCAAACTTTTCGAAATAAAATTTTTCTTTGCAATGGATTTTGAGTGAATAGTTCTTGTAAAATATTTTTATTGAGCCGCTTTTTGAAAGTTTACTTGGCATCTGACATTTTTCTATGCGTATATACATACATTGGTACAGATGCATCTCATTACAATTTGTCCTCTTTCGATAGTGCTCAGGCCGAGTTTTTAATGATTAATGTAAATGTAGGATAGTCCGAGCGGTCAGTTAAAGTCGTGTCTTCCAGAGGAAAGTGCAAAAAAAAAAAAACAGTATGAGTTATAATTTAGCACAGTACTGTTTGGTATTTACTCATTTTCCAACTTTATTTCAGGAAAAATGGAAAATCTATTTCACATTCTTCAGTGGTAATGAACGAAAAAAGAGCTGTTTTCGGTCTTTAAACCTTTCATGTACATTTGAAGTTTATTTTTTATTTTGTTTCAGATATAAATATTAATTCGCATCTCTGTGATATCGCCTTATAGAGGCCGTGTGATTTACTCGCTTGATATTCATTTTCAATGCTTATTGATCGTGAATGCTAACGACGGGTTTTTGACAAATGCGACCTTATTTAGTTTAAAGGCAAATTTATGGCCCAAAAATTCAAATCTGAAAAACAACTCAATATATAAATTGGCGCTTAAATGTAAAGGTGGATCTGTATACCTTACTTGGTTGAAACATCTCAAAAACTGAGATCAACTCATGTGCAGGAAATGGTATAAAAAATAATGATAAAAAATTTGAACGTATTTTTGAAAATCATAAATCCATTGCAGAAAACGTAAGATTTTCTTTCGAAAAAGTTTATGGATTTCAGATATTCCTATTATATGGTGTGCTTTTAGAAACTAAGTGAATTTTCACATTTTCAGACTACAAATTCTAGCGTTCAGCGTTCTTTTACTGTCAAAAACAAATCGAATGACCGCGTAAAGAGTTTTGTGCAAAAAATTATATGTTCAAAAATCATCTTGGATGCCACAGTTTTCGGTTTATGTGATCTTTGGAAAAAATTGAGCTTGAGGTTGTTGGTTGCAAAGTAAGTCCCGAACTGACTGAGCAAAGTAACAGTTGCGGGAGCATAGCCTAGGTATTGTTGAATGATTTACTAGAATTTAGCTTAGAATAAACTGTAGGTCCCACTATTTGTTGGAAGAACAACAAGACGAACGCCATAAATTACAGGAGCAGCACCGTAAAAAATCCCCTCAGCGGTTACAACGTGCTTATATATAATATTACATAAGAATGCAAAAAAATGTTTTTGTGAAATTCCTTTCTTAATATTTATTTTGAAATTTAGCATAATAGGTGAAAGTATATCAGTTCGATCTCTTTGAGGTGATTTTCGATCACTTTTTGGCACCCACTGGTTGGTGTCTCAGCTATATCTGGACAAATGTTGGTTTTTAAATTACTCAAAAGTTAAAGGTTTATCTGTGTAAACACGTAAACACGGTCTTCCGCAATGCTCCATAAAAAACTCCGACGGTATGAATGACATGGTGGTCAAGTGATATTATCAAAGCCAAATTGACTACTAAGGAAGCTTCGGAAGATTTGGACCGTACAATACTGCCGACTCGTATATTTGCGGTCATAAATAAAGTTGGAGGAACAATTGATTATTGAAAATTAAATAAATAACTACATTTCTAAAGCTGAGTTGATGCAACGATTTAAATAAAACAACAAGAATAATAAGTTTTCGTACTCAACATAAATTTCCGTTGGTTCTAAACAATGTAACACGGCTTTTCCATGGCATCGTGAAATACATTGTTCGTCCTTTCATTAACGAATGCGAATTATAACCATTCATACGTCATGCAATTTGACAGTTTTTTTCATGCATGGAAAATGAAAGATTTTAGTAGAAGTTAAAAAAATCTTGAAATGAATTGGTAATGTTAATGCCAGTTTCTTTAATAATTTTAAATTTCCCTCTTCATTAATATACAAATAGTGTTTGGTTTCAAATAAATGCTTGTGTTTTAGTGCGAATTACGATTGAGAGAGCGAAGCACGTGATTGGGTTGTTGTGGAAATGCCGTATAAGAAAGCACATGGTACAATAAAATAAAGGTACTTTCATTCTCTCTTCGCAGTCGGCTTCATAGCTATTTGACATTAAACGTGTTTCGGTTTTTCATGCTACCCTTCTCTCTCAAAAAATTCTACCATTTTTAAATAAAAAATATGTGGAGAGTTTTGATATTTTTTAAATGTTTAAACGTTTAAAAATCACGTTCTGTATTGCATTTTTAAACCTCTAATAATAAACTTTATCGAGTGTATGTCTTTCATAATTGTTGTATTGCAACTTTGGCAAAATGGTAAGGAAGTATCAGGAAAGGAATATATTTTCGCACAAAAATATAAATCGAATGGAAGAAGACGATGAACTGGCTGGGTTTGCTAATTAACGTTTGAATGCAAATCAGTCTCATAGTTTTAGAGCTGTTTCAAGGACATTTTTTAAGCAAAAAGGATATAGTTTTAATAATTGTTAGTTTTATAGGGAAGTGGAAATTCATTATGTTTTTATCTAATAATTGCGCTAAAAGTCGTTTCGTTCCGTTAAACATTACAAACAGTTTGAATTCAAACTAACCGCCAAACATCTTGGTATTAGTCAGCTAACCTGATCTCTCGATTATACCAAATATTCCTCTATTTTGCAAAGTACAGGAGAATAATTATCTTGCATGTCTAAAGACATGCTAATCAATCGAGGAAGAAATTTCCGAGAAATCGATAACTGACCGCAGAATTTAGCGGAGTTAGCACTATCTATATCCACTTTGCTCAACGGCCTCGCAGTTCTCTGGCTGTCTCAATAACCAGAGCCATAGGCCACGAACCTTTGCCATATGCAATACTTGAGAAAATCTAAAAGCCTTTCTTACTTACTTTACTGGCGCAATCATCGCTTTCTCGATTTTGGTTGATTTAACAACATAGCGCCATAAGTTTCTTCTTTTTGTAGTTTGTCGCCGATTGTAAATACCAAGTACAGCCAGATCCTTCTCCACGTGGTCTTTCCAATGGAGTGAAGGTCTTCCTCTGCTTTCACCAGAGAGTACTGCAACTTTCAAAGCTGGAGTATTCGCATCCATCCGGACCATATGACCTAGCCAGCGTAGCCGCTGCTACTTGATTCGTTGAACTATGCCAACGTCGCC